GAACATACTACTATCCCATTCTCCCTGCCACCGATGACGAACTGGAGACGTGTTTGGAGTATGTTGATCTCGTTCTGCCGTCGAACCCGGTCCCGAAAAAAGGCGTGGATACAACGATCTGGCCACTCTCGCCGCCGCTCACCAGTAATGATTTAAAACGGACTCCTAGCAACATCAGCCTACTATATGAAGTACCAGTTGAAGATCCGGGTGGGCTCCACAAAACGCAAACAGATGATTCTGCGCCATTCCAACCCACCGAAATCGACCCGCCACACGCGACTTCTAAAATTGTTCTTGTTAATTCCGATTCTAATGTTTCTGCTAATGACCCCTCGCCTAATGACTCTAAACCTCTTGCATCTGCTTTCAATCCTAAATCAACACCCGCTCAGAAGGAACTGCCGCAGTCAAAGCCCTCTGTTGCTGGCAGCAAGAAAAAAAAGACCGGCAAGTTAACTCCAACTGATTCGACCCTTGAAAGCCCCGCGCAAGCAAAACGCAAAACCAGTAAGCATAGCACGTCCTTACCTGTCAATGCCCTTCAGTCTACTTTGGAAATAGCGCCAAAGGGCCCCAAAAGCCCCAAAAGCCCAAGAAACGCAAAGTCACACTTTAGTGATGCGCTTCCTCCCATTGCCACCACCCTTGCTCCCGGTATAGTCTCATCTAAGAAGCGTGATTTGAGTGTTCCGTCTAAAACTTCAGCCTCTTTTGACTCTTTTGTTCCCACTTGCCCTGCGTCGCATCTCGCGTATAATGGCTCCAAGAAGCATAAAAAACCACAGCCAAGTAAGAAAAAGTTTTTTGAGCAAGCAACAACATCCCAGAAGCCAGCTGTGCACAAGACTTCTGAGGAATCATTGCAGCAGGTTATAGAAGAAAAAGGGTTTAAGCTGGTTAAAAAGAAGTCGAAAAAGAAGAAGAGTTTGTCCGTTGATAAGAACATGGAAAAGCCTGTTTCCGCTGTTCGTCCGCTGGTTCCTACTGTACAAGAAGATGTTTCGTTAAAGGTTAGCACCCCCTCCAAGGCCCCTGCTTGGAAGCCAAAGGAGAAAGAAGTTGCTCCGTTTTCTGTTCGGCGCGAGCCATTGCTAGAGAGCGATAGCCAAGATATTTCGGACATAATTGATGCGGCGCTTCACAATCTCAGCGAGCTCAGCGACAACGATAACGATGCAGGTATTAACCGGTACTCTTCTCCAGTCTCCTCTACTTCCTCATGCTCTTCCCCAGTCTCGCTCAAATGGTCTCTTGATAATAGGTACTTTGGTTACAAAAACGCGGTTTCGTCGCCTGTGATCGGTGGTGCTACCGAGCTTAGCTCGTTCCACCAGCAACAGCCGAACCCGTGGGGCCCCAAGCCTGAGGATAATTTCTTCCCAACTTATCGCTATAATCAGGGTGGGTTTTATCCCAAGGGCTTTACCATGTCGCCCGTGCCACAAGCAGCCTCGCCCGCTCCTGTCTACCCGCCGCAATCATTAACGTTTTTATCTCCTCCACAATCACCGTTTATGGATGGAGAGCCTTCTCTTGCTGGTGGTGGTACTTTTGCAGCTGCGTCCTCCACAAAGCGCAGTAACACACGAGTCACAAACTCGACCCTAATGTGGTCGGTTCCGGACCATCTGCGCAACCTCTAGACTCCTTCAGTTCTGAGTTTGTTCTGGACAGTGTAAAACAAGTATCTATTATTTTGTTTGTTTTTGTTATTATTAATAGTTTATTATTGTCATTATTATCAGATATATAAATTTTCTGTGAGCGCCTTTTGGAAAATGGGGTATTCGCTACATTTTGTTTAATGTCCAGCAACACTTCCTTTCATTTGCTATTTTTAGTGCTCCATTATTATATATGTATATTTATTATTGTTTATTTAAACACTTTTTCTTCAAACGTATCAAAAAAGTAAATAAAAAACCCTCCCACCGAAAGAAGTTATACCATATTACTCTTTAACTTATTGTCAGAATTCTACAGGTAAAGTATATACCTCAATAGATAGATAGATAATCAGTTTATTGTCCTTACATCAAATAGTTACATAAAATTACAAAACAAAACGATATACAA